GGAAAGTAATTTGATTTAGTAATACTGATTTTTAAAAATACATGGTATGGATAACCTATGTGATTTGGGAGAAAAGACTTTTAAAGGGTGATAACTGTCTGTGTTAGCTAGTCAGGTTGAACTCCTGGATCATAAATTGGTTATAAATGTCAGATTGGCATTCCTAAAAGAACAGTACAAACAGCAGCAGAAGGGTGGGGAGGGAAAGTGCCAGTAAGCACAGTCACAACTTCATCTTTCTTCTCTTTTCCTAGTAAAAAGAGACTTAAGTTACACAACTTGCTTACTGCATGCTGGCACATTGTTTAACACCAGTTTTTAGGCTCTAATTCTTAAGGTTCGTGATCTTCCTAAAACTAATTTTCTTTCTGTGACTTGTCCTGTCTGCTTTGTTTTCCAGTTACTCTGTCATTGCTGAATTAGTTGATGATAATTTTGAAGGTTCTCTTCGCAGACCGCTCAGCTGGAAGTCCTTGTCTGGGTTGAACAGAACGACCGTTAATGCTTCTAAGGTAAGTGTAAGATGTTAGTTTTAAAATAGCTTTAAAATGCTAAATGTACAGTAAAGAACAGGGAGTTGGAGTGAGTCTGAAAAGAGAATCCCTCTGATTCTAGTCTGCTGAAGAACATGTTGAGTTGCTAGTAGGCAAACAGGAGTTTCCTTTCTCAATATCCAGATGAATTTTGGAAGAAGCTTATTAAAGTTCTTTTGCCTGCAGGAACGTTAGAAGTTGTGTGAGGAGCAGGAGAAAGACCTGAGGGACACCTTTCCTGCTTGCTACTTCTGTTTTTAAAGCTCTCTCCATCTACCAGGATTTTCTTTTGAACAGTGAAACTGAAAGTTTCCAAAAAATTTCATCTGTGATAGAGCCCCATACATGGTGCTTCCATGCTTGTAGCTGTGCAGCCTGATATAATTCTAGTTTATCTTATAGCAGTATTGTGCTTTGATAAGGAAAATGAGATATGCATATTATACAGCTCTCCCCAACTTGGATTGCAGAAGACATCTAGTAGGAAACTTGGTATCTGCATTTCTAATTAATCTAAAAGTTTTATAGAAAGAAATCAGTCAAAATTCATGTATTCATGTTTTCTGTTTACCGACAGGAACTCATGTTATGTTATTTGATTAAACCATCTGACATGACTGAAAAAGAGATGTTGACACCAGAATGTATGAAAAGAATTAAGGTTCAAGTGAGTAATCACTTCTGTACTTTGCCTCGGGGCAGCTGGACAGGGAACTGTAAGAGCCCCCTGGACCCTTTGCTTGCTTTAGTGTGGTTTGGTTTTTGCACGCCTAGCTGCAGTAAAACAACTAGATGCATCAAGACATGAGAAGTGCATTGTAGGCTCTTTAAAAGCTTAAGATCTTCTAATCTAAATTTTAATGTCACTGCTACTGTGAATGTAAGCATTTGCCTGGGGAAACGGGGATACTTGCAGAGACTGTAAGGTTAATGTATGTTTAAAAGTGAAGGGAGAGAAATGTGTGAGAGACCAGCTCACTTCAGGAACAAATGTAGTCATCTACTAAAATTTCTCAGTGGTCACATAATATACATCAATTTGCTAAAGGCTTGATCCCCATCCCTCACTGATTATCTGTAGGGTTCCCACCCCTACCCCCGTAATAATTGCTGGTTTTTATTTCAGGAACTGATTGTAACTCGTTGGGTTTCTTCCCGTGAGCGCAGTGAGCAAGATGAACTTTAACTGACTGTATAGGAAAAAGTTATTTTTTTAAAAAAACCCAGCACTTCTTGTTGTTTTTTACCTGATCGTCTCATGATGACCCATTGCCTCAGAACAGTTTCTATCAACATATTCAGTTGGTATGTATAAATGCTATTTAAAATGAAGTATATCCTGTTTACTGGAGAGAATGGTGTATTGAAAACCATAACTGAACTATAATAATGCATATGAAGGGGGGAAAAATAAAGCTGTGTCCCAGCTCAAAATACATGTTTGTTTCCTTAAAACTTACAAATGTGTATGTTTGAGTGGTGGCTAGACTGCAGTGATTAATGGTGGTATTTTGAGTATCATGGCAGATCTGGGCATTAGAGCTGACGAGGCACTATATCCTGCACAGCCACTGAAGTCCAAACCTTGAATGTCTGCCTGAAAGCCGAAGCAATGAGGGATCAAACCATGTTCTGGGAATACCTCACAGATTCCTCAGAGTTGAACCTGGGAATTGTAAGGCTAATTTAATTTTGTAGCTCAGCACAGGGTCCTACATTTTTTTCAGAAATGAGAACTTAAACTTGATAGTCCTTAAGTTTAATGCTAGTTTTTAACTAGTTAAAAATTGCAGTCAGTCAAATAACCTCTTGAGAAACCTATGGCACCATTCTTCTTCAACCAAAACCTGACTTCATAGCCTTGATAAAGTTGCACAAACTTTTATTTTGGGGAGAGATTTGGTTGTTGCAATACTGAGCACTGTAACACGTTGCTGCTAGGTGCCTCGACCCTGGAATACAGTGGTCCCAGCTAAAAGTGCTTATTTTCACAAGCACTGCTCAGAATTGAGGAACTCTGCAGTGTGCAAGGATTTAAATTATTTCTGGGGTCTAAGCACCGAACAGCAACGTTAGGTGTTAGGCAGTTGGGAATGCTGGGGCACCTTTCCTGCTTGGGTAAGATGTCTTTCTTCCCTTGGGATCTGCAGCGTAAGATTCCTCCTTGAAAGCAGGGGCCTCATCTTGCCCTGTGCAGCAAGATGCCCTGACCTCAAGTTGATGCCTTTACTTTTGTTGAACATGGGTTACTGTAAGAAAATAATGAAGCTTTGCTGGGCTAGTGAGAGGAAGTCAGTCTCTCTAGCTTGGCAAGTCTGTCTCAATTTCATCACTGCTTTTTTTCTCTTCTATCCAGCAACTACAACAGTCTACACTATTTTTCCACAGTGCTCTCATAGCTCTCTGCCCTGACCTGTCATATGTTGTGGAACAGACGGGGAGACACGGCTGTGTTTTGGATACAGTGAGGTACAGGACAGTGCTGAGCACTTCTGCCTTGCTTCACTAGTTGCCTATTTTCTTTTGTAAGATTTAATCATCCAGATTGCAGTTTCCTAAATATGATGTTTGCTATAGCTAAGCCACATTTATCAAACAAACCAACCAAGCCAGCAGGTATTCAGCTGCCTTTCAGGAGGGTGAAGTATTGACTAAGCTGCATTTGAAGTCTTGCTGCTTTAGATGCAGGCGTTTGAAATCCATCTTGGTGTTTGAACAACAGGCTTCCACTGTGATTTTACATTGGCTACACCAGTAAGGATACATTATAGCTGGTGACAGTGATGCTGTTTTGCATTTGCTTTGTGCTGTTTTCTTTACCTATAAAAGGGGCTTTGCCTCCTGGTAGCAGGGAGTTTTCCAGGGCTGGTAAAAATTCTTGGAGCGTTCCCACCAAACACAAAGCCACAGTCTTGTTTCCTTAGGCAGTTTAGATTGTAAAGCCATGTCGTGAATGCAGGAAACTACATACAAAGTGGAGGCTCTTCTAGTCTTTGCTTTAATTTAATACAACTTCTACTGGAAAGCTGTAAAATGAAAATGTTAATTGCATAATAGCTTTTCAAGCTGAACGATTATGTGTTGACTATGTGGCGAGGGGTTTTATTTCTAGCTGCAATGACTGTACTTCATTTTTCAGTACTGTTGTATCACATAACTTCCATTAGATAGTTGTACCATAGCACTGATACTTGCCATTGTGTTTTTATTTTACCAGTTAAAATACAGTACTTCATTTAAGCATGGACTCTGATTCACTCAGAAATAGCGTACCATGATTTGTTTTTGTAAGCCAGATCCTAGCGGAAGGATTCTGACGTGCACTAGGAGTGGGTGGATAGCAGGTCTCTAGTTGCACATTTCAAGCTGCTTGTCTCTATCACGTTGTGGTTTTTAATATGCTTTTAAATGAGCTATAATTCAGAATTTAGCAAGTGGAAGAAGATGGAGCAGGGAGGTGTGTACAGTGTGGTGTATGCAGCTGGAGTGTTGGAGGGCAGGGTTAATGCCGTTTGTGTATACAAAAGTATAAACTAGATGTGGACAAAACCCCAGTCATTCATGATTGCTTCTCCATCTTTGAGAAAACAGGACCTAGATCTAGACTAAAACCAGCTTACTTTGCAGAAATTAGTAGGAGGAAAAAAAGCTGAAATTATTTTCTTAAACTAGATTTTATTGCATAAAATTATGGACAGCAGAATTTTGATCTCAGCATACACTTCCATGTAATGTACAATAGGTAAAAGTGCTGTTGGAGGATCTTTCAAAATTTTTTTTAACTTAAATTTTTATTAAGTTTTGAAGTTAACTCTGAGAGAAATCCTGAGGAGTCTGTTGCTTACTACAGATACAGACACAGAGTTCCTCTTTTAATACTAAGGATCTGCCTTGGTTTGAGGAATAAATATGCAAAATGTAAAGAAGAATTGGAAAAGAAATACATCTGGCAAAGAGGCTGGATTTATTTGTTGTTATATTTATTAATAATTAAAGTAAAGGAAAATAACTTTGCATGTGGTGAAACTGCCTTAAGTCACGGACTTTGGATTTCAGCAGCATGCAAGCACAAATGCCCCTCTTTTCACTCATCAGTAAACAAATGTGACAGGAAAAAAATCATTTTGGTTTGTTACAGCTTAAGTTACCACAGTTCCTTTGTTAAAACCCTTAATTACACAGCAGTTAGGACTTGTGGTATTAAATGTCTCAGCAGGACAGAGCATATAGTGAATGTAAATAGGAAAACCTTTTTCGATATGAATAGTTCCCACAGACATATTCTGTAGCGTGTACATTGTACGTACGTTATTTCACTGAAATGCACAAGTTCAGTTCCCTGATCCTTCCAGGACGTGCAGGTTAACATGTAAAGTTAACAGTGGTTTTAAATACATGAAGCAGATGATGCATCTTAAACCCTGAGCTTCGGAGTCTTAAGACTTCCCATTGCACGTTGTAGATGTTTTAAAATAGCAACTTGTCATTTTCAGCACTGTTTTTCTTGATCAGGAAGGGGTACAATGTAGAATTCGTTAGCTGTTAGCTCCTGATGCAGAGTAATGTATTTGGAAGCTTTCTTTGTCTGTGGGATCACAAATTTCTCTGTAAATTCACTTTTACTCATTTGCCGTTTTCCCTGAGTGCTCAGGACGCTGTTAATGAACGCCAGCGCGTACGAGTAGCAGTTGTGGTCATGCTCTTCATACCTAGGAAAAAGATCTTGTTAATCAGACTTAGCACTAATCCATTAATTACTGTGCAGGGAGGAATATTTTACTGAATGAAATAAGGAAGCGCATGCTTTCTAAGAACTACTGCCACTTTCCTTCAATGCTGGTGCTTAAATATATTCTATTGATTGCAAGTTGTACTTTCCAGACAGGGATACTAGAAACTTTGAGCATAAAAGGCTGCAAAGTTTACAATAATTTCTTTTTTTTAATACTTATTTGGCTTTTACTTTGCTAACTTTTGTTCTTCCATGTATTGTTACTCTGTTATCTTGAAAACGTCTTCCTGCAGCAGTAGTTAATTGTGTGCCACCACGTGCACTGCTTTCAATGTGGTATTAACTTGGAACCTTACTTAAAATCAAGTAAATTCCATCACTGATATGTTGATAGAGTTGCTATACAGCATGCCAGTCAAACTCCCATTGGCAGTAATTTGGACAGAAATACTAACTGAACAGGAAGAGCAGCCATTTAAAATATTCTTGCCTTTTTTTTTCCCCCCACTGCCCCCACCTCTGAGCATATGGCACTTACCTGTTCATTTCACTGTCAGAATGTTTCTCAGATCATCCCAATAGTGCTGTTTTTTCCCTTAGCCCTGTGTAACTGCATCTGATACAGACCTGCTCAGACTCCCTGCCCAACGCTCAACTTCTTCGATAATTGCCTCAGCCTGTGTCACTTTTCCCTTGTTCTTCCTGGCCCTGTGACTCATTCCATGCCTTGTCCTGTCAGTGGCTCCACGGGCTGTGTTGTCCCAGGGAGGCTTGCCTGTCAGCTCTGGGAATTCACAAGGTGTCTTTGCAAGATCTGAGGACTATGGCTATCAAAAGCAACCCTGCAACCCACAGCCCAGTTCAGGACAGCTCACTGCTTTCTTCAAAGCTCTTCTGGTTTGTTAAGGGATCTGAAGTGACCTATGAGCTCCCATTTAGTAAGTGCTCCCGCTGTACTACAGTGTACTTCCTTTACCAAAATAATTGTTACAGAAAAATAACTGTGAGTAACTTGAAGAGTGGCCATCATTACCATGCAGTACAAAACATCTGGGAATGACACTGAAAAAAAATGTTGAGTTCACCAGCTCAGGGCTGAGTCTGCAAAGCACCACAGCATGTCTGGGTAACTTAGGAGAACACACAAGTGCTTTCCTGAGTCAATTCCACAATTAAGCAGAGCATGTAACTTTTCATTTTTGTATTTATAATGCAAAAGATTCTGTAATACACTTATTACCATCTGTGTCTTCCAGTCAGCATCTTATTTTTGGGAAGCATGTCTTTGTATCTTGACAAGCAAACACAGTATCTGTCAGTAATTTAAGGTATTGTGGGTCATGGCTGTGGCCACTGTTCTTTGCTGCTGCTGCTGCTACTACCATCCTTCCAGTAAATCAAAAGAAAAGCAATAAAGAAAATGAGAAGCAGGCTTGGCCTGAACCCAGAGGAGTTACAGGATGAGTTTAGTGGTCACTGCTCTGTTGGTGGAAAATGTAGGTCACTGTCAGGAGGTGGCAGATGCAGGAAAACCAAACGAGGTTGTAGAAGAGATGCACACATCTACCCACCTTCTACCAATGCTCTTCTGACATCAAGTTAACTTTAGTAATAATGTTAAGGCACTGGGAACTGCCAAAGTATCAGAAAGAACAAATCCTGTTGGCTTTGTAAGTTCCATAGACATTTAAAAATTCAATTCTATGTCAGATTCTTTCATCTCCTGGTTATTAGGGAGATAAATACATTATGTCTGAAATTTTATAGTCAAGCACAGGCTGAATTGCTAAAACCTGCTTTTGATTTGTTGTGGTTTTATTTTCTATAAGATGACATCTGTGTTGATTAACACTTCACAGAACTACGCTGGGACAGGCTGTTTGTCACATAACCTGTTACTGAAGGTCAGTTCAAGGACGGGTATTTCCTTGGAGAGCAGGCTGCTTTGGCACCAGCCGGCTTGGTGATATGGCAGTGCATGCTTTAGCTGGGCTGCCTCACTGGTAACACTGGCCTCAGGCACTGACTCCAAGGAAAACTACAAAGAACTGAAAGCTCTTGTTGGAACACAGTGGTTTAATTCAAAATATATGCAAGTCTTGCTGTATTTAATGATCCAAAGCAATTTAGGAACCAGCTGGAAGAGCTGGAAATGAGCCTGTTTCCCATTTCTCATTATTGACAACACTCTGGGTGAGAATCCCATCAGTGTGGTCAGCCTGTAAATGCAAATACACCTAAAACTTCTGAAACCTAGAAGAAATAATTACAGAATTGCACCTGGACTTTTCTAGTTCTGTACTCAGCAGCATACTCTGAAAGGTAATGTTCTGTTGAACTCTTTTTTTTTTTTCCATGCTAAATTCTTTGGTTGCTGTAGAAAACTTCCCTAAAATGATCCTTTATTTAAGACCTTCTACATTCCAGTAGATGAGTTTGTTACTTAAATCTTAAAAATACTCTCTGTGTAGGAAGGCCAGTAAGTTTCAGGAGAGCCTGAGAGCGTTGCTTGGAGGGGTTTGATAGAAATGGGTGTTTGAAAGGAGCGAGCCTCACAGGGTCCCAAATGGAACAGCCCAATTGATCATCCCAGGCTAAAAATTCCTATTGCATCCCACTTTTCAATGACATACCTGTGAGGAAGCCAGGCCTCTCCCACAGAAAACTCCTCTAGGAGCTGATCCCACTGCTGAAGGAGCCCAAGCATGTCTGGCTGTACTAGCGGGACACTAATGCACTGCTCCCATCCCGTTTCAGCTCTGTGGATGCCCTCTTCGTTGTAGTTATACACCACGCCTGGAAATGAGGAGCAACAGATTGTCAGGGAGCACTGGATAATCAGATTAATACACCTTTTTTAAAATTTTTTGGGGGGAGGAAGTGTTGGGTTTGGTTTTTTTCAGTGATGAAAGCTCCTAGTTTTCCATACTGCCATTTTTTTCTTAGCAACTGGCTATACCGTGGGGCTTCCCATCTGTGGCTCCAGAGCAGAAAATGCAGCCCTTGCTTTTATCAAAAACCTGTTCTCATTTTTACAGTGTAATTTTAGAAGTCTTTTGATAATGAAAGCAACTTAAAAGCAACCAAATTCATGCTGGTTTCATTAAGACCTGTGTTAAGGGAACCTTCAAACCTAGCAGAGCTTGTTAGGTTCA